TTTCACACCACTGTAGATGCATTTAAAAATCCAACGCCAGGCAATAGTTTGGTTTACTGATGCACACATAAACGAACGCACTACTGCTGTTGGTAGAGCGCCGTCCTCACCACAGTCGTGCTGCTGTTAAAATCTCTGTTAAAAGCCATTTTCTCCAATAACTTCCCCACATCAAGTCAGCAGTTATTCCAGTTTGATTAACTGACAGATATGTAATTTTTTAATCCAACGGCCGAACCTCTTTTTTCCTGGTGAAGTAATTGTTTTGATGTGGTTAGAAGTCAGAGCCCCTTAAAAACTTCCAGAGCGGCTGGTGGGTTTGTTTTAACGGGACAAGATATGATGTCACCAGTCACAAGGAGATGTGACAACACACACATATGCTTTTATCATCACCATCATTCTTTTAATTCCCCAACTACGGACATTATAAATGTTTTAACTGCTCAACAATTGAAAACCTCGCATGATCAAGACTGACTGTGGTTCCTTTGGTGCAGTAATGCTTGATGTTAGAAGAAAAAGAGTTTTCAAATGCAGTCATTCCACAACGTTTTACCAAGCAAAGATAGACGTGTTTGCCTTAGGCATGTCCAAAGTGTGGCCCAGGGGCCACGTGCAGCCCACTTCAACATAAAATGTTGTCTCTGTAGCAGGCTCTTAGTGCAGGAAGAACCTTTTGAACTTTCTGTGATTCAGTGAATTCAAATCTTTTCTAAATGTGAAATCGTTCCCAGACAGCAGCATTGTTCATAAACGATTAACGATAGAAGCTGTGAGATGTTCAATAACCTGTTCCGCCCCCTCCATCCATCTTAATTTGCATGTTAGCTGCATATTTAGATTTCAGTAACCACATTTAGAGGTAAGCTCTGAATAAATCCTGACAGGAACATTTGCAGCAGCAATCACAACGTTTTGCTCATTTATGTCGTTCTCAGTGTCACCTGATCATTCAGAATACTTCGCATCAAAATGCATTTTTATTTATTGAGTCCGTTGATTTCTTGCAACTTAGGGCCTCCAACTTTTTTTTCAAGAGTCGCAGCTCAGTACAACCTTCTTGAACACAAAAACTAAATTAGAAAGGTTTTCAGACACACGATTATTCTGGGACTAGTTTGAGAGAAATTATGCTGCAAAGCAAAAAAAAAAAAAAAAAAAAAGCAAATCTATTCCCATTCATGATGGACTACCGCCACCTGCAGGACTCCAACAGGACCTACAGGGTACTGGACCTCACACACACACACACACACACACACACACACACACACACACACACACACACACACACACACACACACACTATACAAACGCTGGAGGATTGAGCTCATGTTAGACTTCAGCATGTTGAATGGGTAAATGATAAAGGGTCTGTATTTATATACCTCCTTCTAGGGTTCTACAACCCCCAGAGGCGCTTTACAGCACAATCATTCACACACTGTCTGTGATGAGCTTCATTTCAACCACAGCTCCACTGACAGGGGCGAGTCTGCTGTACACAGGCGCCGCTGCTCTCTCCAACCTCCACCAGCAGGTCTCGACCAAGGGCACAACAACTGTGACAGAATGAGCGTGGCTCAAACCTGTAACCCATTTTACTCCTCTGTCAGTGCTGCCTGACTCATGGCTGCAATCATGACATTGCTGTTTGTACCCACTTGTATCTTTGTGTTAAAATGTTGGTTATGAGAACCCAAATAAGCACCATGAGGTATTTTTAAAGTATAAATACCTGGAGAGTGAGGTGGCAGCCCTTCCTGGGCCTTGGAGGTCTGATCCTCAGCTACAGAAGCTGGCTCTGAATGTTACCTCTCTGACGGCAAAGGAGCCTGAGTTGGTGTGCAAGGTTTCTGACTCACCTGAACGCATGGCTCTGGCTCTGGAACCAGTTTCCTCGAGAGGGGCTCGACACTACCACACTGGAGTTGCACCCACGGAGAGGCGCTGAGCAGGGGTGAGAATACTAGTTGCCCCCCATTTTGGTGCCTGTTCGTTTGGGTTTACCCCGGTGAATGAGAGGGTAGCACTCTGGTTTGAGTTTATGCACCAAACTACAGTTCAGATTACTCACCCTTTCTGGAGGCCTTGGAGGGGGTGCTGGAGAGCGCTCTTTCTGGTGACTCCCTTGTTGTCCTGAGGGAGACCTGGAGGGGTGTGGTTGGGATGAACGACCCCCCGATCTGAATTAGAGTGGTGTTTTGTTTTTGGACTTCTATGCCAGTCATGGATTGTCCATAATGAACACCAAGTTTAGACATAAAAGTGTCCACATGTGCTCTTGGCACCAGGATACCTTGAGCCGCAGCTCGATGATCGACTTTGTTGTCGTTTCATCTGATCGGTGCCTGTCTTGGACACTTGGGTGAAAAGGGGGCGGAGCTGTCAACTGACCACTATCTGGTGATATGAGGGCTTTGGTGGTGGGAGAGGATGCTGGTCAGACCCAAACGTGTTGTGGGGGTCTGCTGGGAACATCTGGCAAAGCGTCCTGTCAGAGGAAGCTTCAATTCCCACATTCAAAAGAATTTAGGACATGTCCCAAAGAAAGCAGAGGACACTGAGGTGGAGTGGACCCTGCTCCGTGCTTCCAACGTCGAGGTGGCTGACTGGAGTTGTGGCTGCAGGGTTGCCGATGCCTGTCGCGATGGCAACCCCCGAACCTGCTGATGGACACGGGCAGTTAGGGATGCTGTCAAGCTGAACAAAGAGTTCTGTTGGGTCTTTTTGGCCTTTGGGACTCTAGAGACAGCTGATGCGTACTGGCAGGCCAGGCCTGAATGCGCCCCGGGTGGTCACGGAGGCAAAAACCCGGGCGTGGAAGGAGTTCAGTGAGACCATGGAGCAAGACCTCCAGGTGGCTTCAAGGACATTCTGTTCCACCATTTAGTGGCTCAGGAGGGGAAAGCAGTGCGCTACCAACACTGTTTATAGTGTACTGCTGACCTCTACTCAAGCGTGGTGGATCGTGAGCAGAATACTTCGAAGACTTCAATCCCCCTGGCACCAGCCGAGTCTGGGAATTTTGGGTTGGGTTCTCCAATCTCTGGGGCCGAGGTCACTGAAGTGGTGAAAAAAATCCTCGGTGGCAAGGCCCTGGGGGTGGATGAGATCCGCCCGGAGTTCCTAAAGGCTCTGGATGTTGTGCGGCTCTGTTGGTTGTACACAGCCCTGCAACGCAGCATCGTGTGGACATCAGGGGCAGTTCTGGATTGGAATATCAGGGTTGTGGTCCCCTCATTTAAAAAGGGAGACCATCTGATGTGTCTCTACTGCTCCTTATCATGCCCACTACTGTGATCTGTAGAAACTGGTGGGCTGGCCTTCCCCCTGAAGACTTCATCACTGATTTCTTTTTGTCTGCCAGACGTTACTGGACAAGACACCGCCCTCACTTCACCCATAATACACATCACACCAGATCTAGTGGATAACTTCAGCTCCTCATCACAAATATCTCCTCTTAGGCCACAAATCCACCCGCTTCACAGCAGCGCATGACTGGAACACTTTACAACCATAGCAACCTAGACATCTAATCTAACCTTTAAATCAGAACTTCATCGCCTTATAGTTTAAACTTTAGATGCTTATTCTTTTACAGACATATTCATTTCTTTTCACGTTGATTTGTCTGTATTTTCTTGCAAATATTCTCCAAATACAGATTAACATGTTCCTATGCCCACTCACTATCCTGTTTATGTTTTTATTTTCTCTTACAGGCTTTGTCATGCCTTTTCTTTTCTTTACATGATTGAATGAAATTGTTGTTTTTGGCGCTACCTCTGAGACATCTCGTCACAGCATGTTTGTAAATGAGAACATTTTCTTAAACGTTTTACCAGTTTAATGAAGATTGAAAAGGGGGGTTTCCCTTCTGCCCAACAGAGTGGGTGTGGTTTGTGTTGCTGGTCACCTGTTCCTGTTCTGCTCACTACCTTTATGGACAGAACACCTCCATGCAGCTGTGGAGAGTGTTGCCGTGGATTCAATTCAATTCAAGTTTATTTATATAGCGCCAAATCACGACAAGAGTCATCTCAAGGCACTTCACATAATAAACATTCCAATTCAGGTCAGTTCATGAAGCCAATCAGAAATAATGTTTCCTATATAAGGAACCCAGCAAATTGCATCAAGTCACTGATGAGTGTCAGTGACTTGATGCAATCCTCATACTAAGCAAGCATATAGCGACAGTGGAGAGGAAAACTCCCTTTTAACAGGAAGAAACCTCCAGAGGATCCTGGCTCAGTATAAGCAGCCATCCTCCACGACTCACTGGGGATGGAGAAGACAGAGCAGGCACACACGCACGCACACACACACACACACAGAGAGAGAGAGAGAGAGAGAGAGAGAGAGAGAGAGAGAGAGAGAGAGAGAGAGAGAGAGAGAGAGAGAGAGAGAGAGAGAGAGAGAGAGAGAGAGAGAGAGAGACAAGGACAAAGTAATGTGTCTATGGTTACATTGTGATTTCTTAGTAAATATTCTATTTGGTGAGAGCTAAACTTTATTGTATTTATCCTAGTGAATCTATAATTAAACGGATAAACTAGCAGTAGCACATCCAATGTCATGATCTGTGCTGGAGCAGTCTTCTTAGCTCTTTCAAACTGGGACCTTCAACTCTTACGGGGGAAGTGAAGCAGTCGAGATGAGGATGAGCATCTCAAAATCCCAGGTGAAAACAGAAAAGGCTGGACTGCCAACCCCAAGTCAGCTGATCTGGAAAAGGTGTGAGACCCAGGGATGATGTTTCTAGGCTTGAAAACAAGCTGGTGGACAGATGAGTCAAAGGCTGTTCAAACAAACGGGTCTTTCATCTCGTTAAAGTAGCTCGTCCACGTTTTACTAGAGATATAAGGACCCACCTTTCGTCAAACTTTTTGACAAGTCTATTCTTCTTTGAATTCATGACCTCACCCCCCCCCCCAGCATAAATCAGATTGGCATGCATATTGTTCATTGACCTAGTCCCCCCACCTTAGCCTAAATCATATTGTCAGTAGTCTCTTTTGTGAAGATCGAAATGTTAAGAAAATGACTGGGTGTAATGGCGCATGAAGTTTCCTTTTGTGAATCATTTTAGTTACGCTTGATAACTGTTTTGTGTTAGCCCCGCAGTTCCCACAGCCCCTCCCTTTCATACCCTGATCGCCTCTTTAAAAGCTCAGACTGAGATCGTGTCAGAATGGTGAAAAGCCAAAGAAATACCTCTAAGAAAATGGTGAAGGAAGAGTCGTCTATCCAAGAGGAGAAGGAAGAAGAGTCTTGTTAGAATGAGCTTTTTGAAACAATACCACCGTGCAGAACAAAAAGTAAGTCAAGTGCTTTGTGAGCTGAGGAGCTGTTTGTCTCTATGCCGACTACAGCATCACCAGAGGTATGGCTCAAATTTTATTTATAAAGCACCTTATAGGCTTGAGTATGCAGGGTGCTGTACAACAAAACAATAAACGGTTTAGAGTCGGTAACCCTTCACTAGTCTTAGGATCGTGCATTTCTGAAAGTGCATAGCCAAATGGATGGTAAATGATCAACTAGTTTTTTGTTCACAAACTTCCTGGCACTGTTTAAAAACCCACCACAGAACAAAAAGCAAGTCAAATGCTTTGTGGCTGAGATGGGGGTGATTTTGTTGTAAAGCATCACCAGAGGTATGGCTGAATGGTTTAGAGTTGGAGACACATGTCTGAATGTAACCCTAACCCTGTGTGTGTGTGTGTGTGTGTGCGTGCGTGTGTGTGTGTGTGTGTGTGTGTGTGTGCGTGTGTAGATCCGTTTACGACATGCATGTGAATCTAAGTTATGTGTCTTATTTCCTTGAGTTTAACTATTCTGTACTTCACATCTGAGATGTTAAATTACTGAGCTGGTTCTGGATGGATTTTTCACAAAGCAAGGTTTGTGATAGCGGCGACAGCATATCCACACTCTCTTCTTTCACCTTTTGGGTTGAAGTTGAAGCGTCGGATGTAGACACTTCTTCCTTTTCCTCTTGGATAGACGACTCTTCCTTCACCATTTTCTTAGAGGTATTTCTTTGGCTTTTCACCATTCTGACACGATCTCAGTCTGAGCTTTTAAAGAGGCGATCAGGGTATGAAAGGGAGGGGCTGTGGGAACTGCGGGGCTAAGACAAAACAGTTATCAAGCGTAACTAAAATGATTCACAAAAGGAAACTTCATGCGCCATTACACCCAGTCATTTTCTTAACATATCGATCTTCACAAAAGAGACTACTGACAATATGATTTATGCTAGGGCGGGGGGCTAGGTTAATGAACAATAGACCTGTCAATTTGATTTAGGCTAGGGAAGGGGGGCCAAGGTCATGAGGTCAAAGAAAGCTAGACCTGTCAAAAAGTTTGACAAAAGGTGGGTCCTTATATCTCTTACTACAAAAACAAGAACGGATTCAAAGACAAATCCTAAAGAAATACGAACCGTTAAGAAGAAGCAGAGTTCATGTAAGGTAAAAATGGACAAAAGTAAACCAGCGGCTTAAAATTTGACTGTTATTTAACTTTCTTTCATCCTTTAAAATAACATGGCAGCTATGAAACACTTGGCTATGAAACACGTAATAATGTTTGTTTTTTCAACCAATAACACCTGTCAGAGATAAACCACAGGTCCGGCTTAGGCTTGCTCCTCATCCTCCTAAATAACAGGGAAATGTATCCCGGTTTGCTAAACGGTTCCTGTAGGTGACAAATTCACAAAGCCTCTCATTCCATTGAGAAATGAGTCGTCTCTGGTGCCTAAAGATGCTGCTTGTTGTTTACGATTAACCATATTTGGCCAATACATCTCCTTTATATTTACCTTGTTATGAGAGTTTATAACACATTCACAAAAAAATGGCTGCCAACAATGAGTTTGCTAGGAAGCTTACTGCCTTCAGTAATTATAGACTTCTATGTCTCAGGAGTTGTAAACATTTTAATGATATACATAATAAATACTTTTTAACATTATTTTCCTTCAGTAGAACAGCACCAAGTCACTTTTTACATACAGTAGTTGTGCGTTACGACAGTAGAGACAAGTTTGTGCTTCTGGTTCTACATGACTGTTTATATATGACAAAAACAAGTTTATTATCAACCAGCGGACTTCCTGTTGGAGCTGAAAGTCATGTGTTAACTTCCTGTAGTCTCTGGGTCACAGCAGACGCCAGCTTCCTGTAGGCCGCCGCCTGCAGCACAGAGATGACCTTCATTATTTTAAGTAGTTTTCATTTCCACAGAACATTCAAATCATATCAAAAGTATTAAAAACACCACATATAAAATGTAGATAAACTAAATTAATACCCTCACTGACCACTTTATTAGGTACACCTAACTAGTACTGGCTTTTAGCTCCTTTTAGCCTTAGTAACACTAATTCTTCAAGTCATAAGGTGTCCTCAGAGGTTCTGGTCCATGTTAAGATGACAGCACCAGTTCCATCCATGAGATTCCACCACATCCCAAAGGTTCTGGGCTTGACTGAGATCTGGTGACTGTAGAGGCTGTTGGAATCCAGTAAACTTAGGGTCATGTTCTAGAAACCAGTTAGAGATGATCTGAGCTTTGTGACATGGTTCCTTATCTTGCTGGTAGTAGCCATCAGAAGATGGGTCCATGTGGTCATAAAGGTATGGACATGGAGAACTTGCACAATAACCACCAGCAGAGAAACTGTACACCTCGGGGAGGTGTACAGTTTCTCGTGCTACAGCTACGAGTCCCCCCCCCCCCCCCCCCCCCCCCCCGAGGAGTAATTATCAGTTTGTCAATTGATTATGTCAGTTGGTCTGGCTGACTCAGGCTGGGCCAGCAGAGAGGAGCCACTACTGAGGGTGTGACAACACTAACACACAGTTGCTGCTGTCCATGGTCCTGATTTTTCATCTGGCAATTAATAGACTATAAACATGTTTGTTATCTCTAACCCATCATCTCCAGTTTGCTCGAAGACTAAATCTATGCAAGATGACTTGTTAAATTCAGCGCTATCTGCACAAAGGAAGCTCAGCCGCCCTACCCACCCCCAGACTAACGCTGAGGTCTGCCTGGCATTGTTGATGATACTATTTTAGGACATGATTGCTTTGTTGACTTTAAGCAGTTTAAGATCCTGTTTTTGAGCCAGGAAATCCAAAATGCTGAATGGCACAGGGATTCGGACCAGGTTCAGGCTTCATGTATTTCGGGTCCTTTTGGGTTCAGGTTGAATTTTTGGACCTGTTAAACACTTAACTGAAGAGCATTAACACAGATAGAGATGCCTTCCACAGGCCCTGTTTGCCTCACATTCTCTGTAAACACAAGCAATGGTTGTTGGTTCAAATCCCAATAAATCAGATCAACCTATCTGGTCCCAAATATTCTGTAATATTTAAACTCCCTTAAATATTCTTTCTTTTCTATCCCGATGTTCAGGTTAAACTTCAGCAGGTCGCCTAGATGCTGCCATGTGATTGGCTAATGAGGTAACGAACAAGTGTACCTAATAAACCAAGTGATGAGCATGTGCTCATCAAGCCAATCAGGACAGAATCAGACTGAATGAGTCAGTAAAGGTGAAGTCTAACAAAACCAATAAGAACCTAAACACAAAAGCTACATAATATCAATGTAAGAGAGCAGAGTAGGGTAGAAATGAGCAGAGTAGAGTAGAGTAGAGTAGAGCAGAGTAGATCCGAGTAGAGTAGAGTAGAGCAGAGTAGAGCAGAGTAGAGCAGAGCAGAGTATAGTATAGTAGAGTAGAGCAGAGCAGGGTAGAGTAGAGTAGAGTAGAGTAGAGTAGAGTATAGTATAGTAGAGTAGAGCAGAGTAGAGCAGAGTAGAGTAGAGTAGAAGTAGAGCAGAGTAGAGCAGAGTAGAGCAGAGTAGAGTAGAGTAGAGCAGAGCAGAGTAGAGCAGAGTAGAGCAGAGTAGAGCAGAGTAGAGTAGAGTAGAGTAGAGCAGAGTAGAGCAGAGTAGAGCAGAGTAGAGCAGAGTAGAGTAGAGTAGAGTAGAGCAGAGTAGAGTAGAGCAGAGTAGAGTAGAGTAGAGTAGAGCAGAGTAGAGCAGAGCAGAGTAGAGTAGAGTAGAGTAGAGCAGAGTAGAGTAGAGCAGAGTAGAGTAGAGTAGAGTAGAGTAGAGTAGAGACCTCTGCGCTGTCGGGACAGGAGACAACCACTGGTTGTCCTTTGTCTGACATCTCTCTGATGTTCAGGTGAAGCGGGATGTCACCTGAAAGGCAAATAGAGAAACTTATTAAAAAAATATTTCAAGCTGCTTTTTATCTAAAATATAAAAATGTTTTGTCGGCCAGTCCAATACATTTATGACCATAAAGAACATGCCATTCATTGTATTGGAACACTGAAAATGCTGCTAATGTAGAGGTGTAAGAGGTTGATTATATGTTGCTTTTAAGCTTAAAGGGGCATTATGGAAGTCTGACAGCCAAAACATGAATAGAAATAATAAATGTCTTCTTCATACATCCTCCTGCAATGCCCTGGTCCTGTAGAATGAGCCCTGGCATTTTTACTGTGATTGCCTGTTTTTCTGTAAAATCACAGAAAAAGAGAGATGCTCGGGTCGAGCAGGCTGCTTCATGCGCGCTCACGCTCAGGCATAGCCCGTAGCATTTGCTATCCGTAGCTTTAGCAGCAGAGAGAGAGGCAGTGCCACTTTGTCACTGTTCCTAACGCCTAGTGACAAAGCTAGCTACATTTCTGAGGACCCTTAGCCACTTTCTGTAGAACTTTCTTCTAGATATTTCCTGCAAAATAGCAACAAAATAGCCATTTTCGCTTCGAACTGTTCTTTGGTTTGACGTTGTTTCAGCTGTCATCAAGGATATAAACGTTACAGATACATCCAACATTACTGGTGCTTTAGTTCACCTAGTAAGACGTCAGACTCTCATGCAGAAGACCTGGGTTCGACTCCAGTGGGAACATAATTTGTCATTTTGAGTTTCTTTTTTACATTAATGGTATATTTTTTTACAGTAAGATGCCCAAATTTTTATTTGAGACTCGCCGAACGTCATTGAATTCACAGATAAAAAAGATGTGGGTTCAACTTTCATTTTGGAACAATTTTTCTAGCAAGGGAAGGGAATGATCTGAGCATGCAGGAGGACTGACCCATCATTAACCTTTGTCGGCTGTGCTGAAGAGAAAGGTACAGAACCACATTATTTAATTAATTAGCTGCGCTCTGTCCTCCGGGCCACACACACACACACACACACACACACACACACACACTGCACGTTCGGCCAGCCGACGAGAAAGTGCAGCTGCTTAGACAGAGGAACATTATTTTTATTCATTTCCTGTGTTCTTCTGTCCTCCGGGCCACACACACACACACACAAGACTGTCTCAGCTGTTATTTTCGTTAAGGAGTGTGCACGTACAGCATGCGCGCCTCATGCACGAACTTACTTTTGAAGCTGCCGTTACGCGTTAGGCCTGAGTGGCGATCACGAGCATAAAAACGTCATACTTCCTTAGAGTCCCTTCAATATATTACCTTTACTTATGACCAATAAGATGTGATATTCTATATAAATATAGAGCATCAACCTGATTGATCTTTGAATGTTTAATCAGAAGAATTAGGATTCTTTGCTTTTTCAGGGATCATAACACACTTCGTATTAAGGACCCGAGTCAAGTTTATAAAAAGTAAGAAATTTATTTTCTAAATTAAAAACAAGACAAGTTATAAATAAGATGATGTGATGGATGAATATAAGTGGATGGAATGTGATGTTATCAGAACCCTCGTATCTAAAAGGAACAGCGAGTTCTGAGTGTGAAAGAATTTGTGGTGGTTATAAGCTGAAGAGTTGATTTATCAAAACGGCATCAGACGCAATCTTGCCATGCCTTCGTACCCAGATGGGAACCCCCGTGGTAGATCCGGAATGACGGAATCTGTGTGGACCTACCAGGTACTGTAGTCCGCAGGATCAACCGCAGTACCACTAGACCAGCCTCGAGTTGTTCCCAGGTCCCAACAGTATGAAGGTTGGTTGTGTCTAAGACGGACTCTGAGGCCTAGTCCACACATAGCCGGGTTTTTAAAAAAACGAATATCCGCCCCTCCAAAAACTTGCATCCACACCACCTCGTTTAAAAAAAAAACTCTGTCCACACGTACCCGGATAAATACGTTGTTAAGGACATGCCAGACCTGTAGGCGGCAGTACTTCCCCCGTTCTTAACCTCGTCCTTCGTCTGTGGTCTTCCGCAAGGAGCAGTAATTCCGCTTGCAAAAACAAACAAGCAAAAAGCGCTTGGACAATTGATAAAGCGAGCGCAGCTCTGAGGGCATCCATGATGTCGGCTAGTGTAAACTCAGGTCACACACGTGATGTCAGCATTTTTTTGTCGCGGAAGTGACGTTGCAGACCTTAAAACTCCGATTTTGTCTGTCCACACGCAGACACCCAAAACGGAGAAAACGCAGATCTTCACTTTGGCCGGAGTTTTTAAAAAACTCCGTTTTTGTGTGGATGACAGGCCAAAATGTAGAAAAATATCTACGTTTTGGCAGATCCCCAGCTACGTGTGGGGTCTTGGCTGTGTCAGCTTTGTTCTGAAGGAGCAAGTTTCTGTGTTGCTGCAGCGAGCAACCGGTTTCACAGCTTGTCAAGAGATGCAGTGGTTAGAGTTTCTTCCGGTGGCCAGTCCGGAGTTCGGCTCAAAACTAACTCATGGGGAAGTGAGTTCTGTTTAAATAATTGCCATATTTTGATTTACTGACAAATCAGAATTTGACATATAAAGAGGTGGTAACAAACAAACCTCAGAACTACACCTTTCCCAGGTACAGGATGCTCTGATTTGTGGATAAGAAAATATCTATGTGCAGTGACGCTAACTTTAACTTGCGTCATGGAGATTTGGTCAGTGTGTGCTTGTCCAGTCATGTACACCGATTAAATATATGGGTCATATATTTCATTTCATCCTTATTAATCTAAGCACAGATTAATCAACCTTATTAATCTAAGCACAGATTAATCAACCTTATTAATCTAAGCACAGATTAATCAACCTTATTAATCTAAGCACAGATTAATCAACTTTATTAATCTAAGCACAGATTAATCAATGCATTTAACCATATTGTTCATTTCATTATATGATTAATTAACTCATATGAGCTGAAAAGGTTCACTTTTATTCAGACGCAGGAGGAATCCTGAAGGAGCGATAAGGGGAAGCTTAAGGCCTTGAAACGCGAACAGTTTGTTGACAACATGTTATCCTGTGTTCAGAGCTGCAGAGGCCTGGACTCCAGCTGATAGAATAGAAGGATCCAGAAGATTAAAGGCACTAGATGTAGACTCATGTCTCCCTATGACCGGATACTGAAGAGGTCAAACTGTAGATGAAAAACTGACCAGTTCTGGACGCTACAGAGGAAAGAATGCTTCTTCCTCTTAATAATGAGAGGAAGATGATTTAAATAAAATGATCTGGACTTTGAGAATCAAATGACTCAGCACATAAACCACAGACCAGAGGTGTCAAACTCCCGTCCTCAAGGGCCATCATCCTGCATCTTTTTGTTGTTCCCCTGTTCCAACACAGTTGATTCACCTGTGCAGCAGCTCATCAAGCTCTCCAGAAGCCTGTGAATCACCTGCTGATTGAAGTCAGGTGTGTTGAGTGTTGAAACAGGGAAAAGACTAAAACATGTGGGATGGTGGCCCTTGAGGACCAGAGTTTGTCACCTGTGCCTTAGACGTTAAAGCTCGCTCTGTTTTTACAGAAGAGAATCACATCATCATCACTTCAGGTCTAAACCGTCTTGACTCACCTAAGAACGAGATCCCCAGAGTGTCCGCGAGCTGCCGGGCCCCATCTGAGCCAAAGATGTGGGTCTGGTGCTGACAGTTGGGACACTGGAAGACACTCATGTTCTGCACCAAACCTAAAACCTGAAAGAACATCCAGTCATTAGACGGGCCCGATGGCTTCTCGCTCCACTCGTTTCTGCATTAACTCATGGGTTACCGGAACGTTGACTTTCTTGAACATCTCAGCTCCTCTGTGTGCGTCCAACAGAGCGATGTCCTGAGGCGTGGACACGATGACCGCACCTACACAAGAGCGCACGACTCGACTTTACACGGAGGAGAAGAGAAGCACTTCTGTGGCACAGGGAAAAAGGACGGACCCTAAAACCTACCTGCTATTGGAATGTTCTGGGTGACTGACAGCTGGACATCTCCTGTCCCAGGAGGCATGTCCACCACCAGGTAGTCCAGTGAGCCCCAGTCCACCTGCAAACACACAACTGTGTAGTCTCTGCTCCATGACACATGAAGCAATGATTTACATCCAACGTTGGATTTCCATACTCCAATCTCACCTGTCTGAGCAGGCGCTCCACGGCAGACATCACCATCAGGCCCCTCCACACTATCGGAGACGCGTCTTCCACCAGGAAGCCCATTGACATGCTGACAGAAGAGAGGAAATCATCAATAAGGATATCCGCCATTCCAACGAGACCTGAAGAATCAGACAGCATCAACTGACCAGGGAACGCCGTAGTTGGTGAGAGGAACCATCCGATTATCTGAAAGAACGTTTTGTGCTTTTTTAACTTAGTTATTTAACGGGTAAGAAAAATACTATTGAACTAACTCTGCATACCGTCACTGAGCTCCGGGTTTCCTTTCAGGTTCATCAGTCTGGGAACAGACGGGCCGTAGACGTCAACGTCCAACAGACCAGCAGACTTAGACTGAGACACATAAAAGTCTCTGTCAGAGGACAAATGTCTCAGAGACAGGAAAGGTCTTCACAGGGCAGAAGACAATGTCTGATGTTCAGAAGCATGAGAGTAAAACACGTCTTAATAACAACAACAACAACAACAATAATAGACATCTTACCTGATCATTAGCCATTAATGCAAGAGCCAGATTTACTGCAAAGACACATAAACAGACTTTAACCCCATCTGGCAGTCATTAGGATCATGTATGACATGTAGCTCTTTCTACTTATGTCATCATTTAACTGAAGTATGTTTTAGATTTTGATTGTGATGTCAGACTTCAGTCTTATATTTAATCATGCTTAAAAGTAAAGAACCTCTTTCAAAGATTTTTGAGAAAAATGTTTGTTTTAGTTTCACTAAAAAAAAACTTCCTAATCAAAACTGATCTAATTTTCCTTAAGGGTAAAACAAAACAAATCCCTTAATAGCTTTGCTAATACTTCCATCCATCCATCCATTTTCTGTCCACGTAGGGTCGCGGGGGGGGGGGGGGGGGCTGGTGCCTATCTCCAGTGGTCAACTTACAATCAGGCGGGGTACACCCTGGACAGAGAGCCAGTCCATCGCAGGGCACCACAGAGACACACAGGACAAACAACCATGCACACACACACTCACACCTAAGGACAATTTAGACAGACCAATCAACCTAACAGCCATGTTTTTGGACTGTGGGAGGAAGCCGGAGGACCCGGAGAGAACCCACGCATGCAGAAAGATCCCAGGCCGGGAAGCAATCCCTTCTTGCTGCTGCTTCTTTGCTAATACTTAAAGAAGCCTAATAAAAACAAAGATAGAAATCCGCTGTCAAGGATGTTGAAGATATGTGAGACGTTTGATTTAAAACGCTATTCAGCCGAATATACATTTTAACCGGTGTGTGTGTGTGTGTGTGTGTGTGTGTGTGTGTGTGTGTGTGTGTGTGTGTGTGTGTGTGTGTGTGTGTGTGTTTAAACTGTTGGGGTCATTTTAATTCTGTAAAGCACTTTGAGTAACACTTTGCTTGAAAAGCGCTTTATAAATAAAATGTGATTGATTGATTGATTGATTGATTGATTGATTGATTGATTGATTGAAAAAACATGAAGGTACCCCTAAATATGTAAGATCATGTGAAAAGTTTCAGAAAGTGAATCTCAGTGAAACATTTCAAGCATTTATTTCTTGTAATTTTGATGATTATAGCTACAATGAAAAAAATTATGTGTTTTTGAACGTGAAAATGAAAATTTGTAGCCGAGGATCACAGACTCAGACAGATATGGAATGTCAGAGTAGGCCGCTGCACGATAAACATGAAACTAGTAGGATAATCCCCAGTCTTTGTCGGCCAGCACACTTTCTTCATGCTTCAGTGTTTCTGATGCTCGATCCGGACATCTGCCCATCAGATGGATACATGCATGTTGACGGGACTATAACAGTCTACTGGAAGAGAAAACGGACTCATTACCTGCAGTCGTGGACTTTCCCACGCCGCCTTTGCCTGAAGCCACGACAATGACCTGTTTGACTCCAGCAATGGGCTTCTGCTTGGGAAGCCCTCTGGCCATCTGCTGCTTCTGTCTCTCCTGCTGGGCTTTACTGTCCACTGACCTCTTTGACACCATAATAATGCATAAATGAATTTTAGAGCATTTTGAAATCACTGAAAATTAGGTCAATTATGGACAATTTGAAAGGCCTTTATTTTGGAAGGCAACATCAGAATAACTTGATATTATATGGTATCACTGTGGGGTTGTATACTGTTGATCTAAAGTGGAATTACCCTGTGGAAACAGCAATTTTCCATTTTAGAGCATTTTGAATTGTTTAAAAGAGTTGGTCAAATATGGCAATTTCAATTGCTGTGGTTGGATAGTGTTGATACAAAATGCAACTACTCTTTGGAAATATGACTTTTGCTTTTAAGAGCATTCTGAAGTCATTGAAAGAGTAGTTCAAAAATGAAAATTCACAGGGCTTTTACTTTGAAATCCAAAATAAGATAGCCGCAGGCCGCTAATAGTGAACACGCCTAAATTATATGTGATTATGTTCTTAAAATATCTGTTAATTCACTCGAAGTTTACTTTTATTTTGAAATCCGGTTTCCACATCTCTTCCCGTAATACTTTGAATAGACGGGGAACCGACAATAAACTGGAGGCTGGCTTGACACAAGTTAATAATCACACTAGTTGTTAAAAGTCTTGCTCTATTATTGTTTTAAGACAAGGAAAATTAATCATTAAAGCTTACCAAAGCTCACGAGAGGCTGAAAAAACTGAGAAATACACGAAACAACAAAAATTCTGTTTCGATCTAAATCAAAGCTGGCGTTGAGGTAAATGTCAAAGCATTCAAAAGATTGACAGTTAGCAGCGATCACGTCCAAAAGAAAGCCGTTTGTGAACACAGTGAGTAGAAAACGTACCTGGCTTCGTTTCAACTGCAGCAGCTGACCGCTCCGGGTTTCATGTCAGCTCCTGCTCGTAAAACAGGCGCTTTGTGTACAGCTAATCTCAGTAAATGAGACAGTTTACTGTAGGTGAAAAGAGCCATGTTTATTTTTTTAGACTACAGTTTAGTGCGCATCAGGTCTGCGCATCTACGTTCTTCTTCGTGTAGCCTCCATGTGCTGAATCAACGGCACTAGCGCCACCTTCTGGACCGAGGTGTGAACTACAAACTAAAATTAATTAGAATAAAAATCACGAGGCGCTTCACAAAAACAAAAAAAATGTAAAAATATAAAAAAGCATTTAGAAAATGTTTAAAAAATATTAAAATGAGCAAAAATAGGCAATTGTGATTTAAAAAAATGAAAGAGAGAGAGTGACCAGGAAAGAGGGAAATCGGTGGATCCTGAGAAAGGTGGGATAGGTGGGGAGAGCAGAATAAAGAGAGAGAGGTGAAGAAGGTCATCCAAAAGCCAGCTTGAATAAGTGAGTCTTCAGCTGCTTTTTAAAGGAGACCACTGAGTCCACTGATCTCAGGCTCAGGGGGAGAGAGTGCCAGAGTCTGGGGGGCACAGCAGCAAATGATCTGTCACCTTTGGTCTTTAGCCTGGTGCTGCACAACCAGTAGGCTTTGATCACTGGACCTCAGGGGACCTGCTGGGGGTGTAGGGACTGAGGAGATCACCAATGTAAGATGGTGCTTGTCCATGTAAGGCCCTATAGACCAGAACCAGGACCTTGAAATGAACCCTGAAGTTGACTGGCAGCCAGTGAAGCTGGAGGAGAAGCGGGGTGATGTGGGTGTGTTTGGAGGACTTGGTCAGAAGCCGAGCACAGGCGTTCTGAACCACCTGTAGACGGTTCAGGGAGGTTCTGCTCAGACACGTGAAAAGAGAGTTACAGTAGTCTAAGTGTGAGGAGATGAAGGTGTGGATAACTGTCTCAAGTTCAGAGCGGGACAGAATGGGACTCAGCTTAGCAACGTTCCTGAGATGGAAGAAGGAAGAGCGAACAAGAGAACTGACACGAGAATCCAGGGTGAGAGCTGGGTCAAAGGTCACACCAAGACTCCTGACAGAAGGTTTGGTGTGAGAAGCAAGCTGACCAAGAGAGTCTCTGACTTGGGAACCAGCTTGTCTGGGGCACAGATGAGGATCTCAGTCTTATCTTCATTCAGCTGAAGAAAGCTCCCAACCATCCAGGTTTTGATAGAGACTAAGCAGGTGTGTAACAGCTGCAGCTTAGACATCTCAGGGGGCTTAAAGGAGATGTACAGTTGGATGTCATCTGCATAAAGATGGTAGGAGATTCCTTTGCTCAGGATGTGCTGAAGAGGAAGCAGATAGAGGAGGAAGAGCAGAGGCCCCAGCACAGAACCTTGTGGGACACCATGGGTAAGGGAGGTGGTGGAGGACCTAAACTTGGAGATGGCCACAGAAAAGGAAGCGCTCAGAAAGATAAGAGGAGAACCACTCCAGAGCAGTTCCTGATAGGCCTACCCAGTCTCTCAGCCTCTCCAGTAGCAGGTGATGGTCAACAGTGTCAAAGACTGCAGTCAGGTCCAGTAGGACCAGAACAGAACAGTCCCCTGCATCACTGTGGATCAGAAGGTCATTAGAGACCCTAAGAAGAGCTGTTTCAGTAGAATGAGCTCTACGAAAACCTGACTGGAAGCTATCATAGATGTTATGTTCATCAAGAGCAGCTGTGAGTTGTTTAGCCACAACCTTTTCCAAGATCTTGGAGATGAACGGAAGTTTAGAGATGGGTCTGAAGCTGCTATGGAGAGAGAGGTCAAGACTCGGTTTTTTAAGAAGCGGGTGGATTACAGCATTCTTAAAGTAAGTAGGGACCTGACCAGAAACCAGAGAAGCATTAATTATAGAGAGCACGCTGGGACCGATGGGACTGAAAAGCACTTTTAAACAAAGATGAGGGTAAGATGTGGAGGGGGCATGCAGAGGTCTTCATAGAGTAACTAGTTTGGTTAACTCAGGCAAAGAAACAGGAGCAAAGCTATCTAGGATGATGGGCCTGGTTGGAGTCGGGAGAGGCAGCGATAAGGCTGAAGGAGAGATGCTAGATCTACCTTATTGACTTTGTCCACAAAGAAAGACAGAAAGTTCTCACAGTCTGGATGGAGGCTGTAGGAGAGGCAGGAGAGACGATGCTGCTGATGGTGTTAAACAGCACCTTGGGGTCCCTTTGCTCTGGGACACCAGGTTGGAAAAATAGGAAACCCTAGCGTCTCTCACTGCAGAGTTAAAGGATGTCAGAAGATCCTTCAGTTGCAGCAGATGGACGTGGAGATGGTGTTTTCTTCCACAAGCGCTCAATTTTTCTGCATTAAATTAAATTAAATTAATTATCGCCACATTCAAAAGGAAATGACTCCTTTCAGACAAAGCCCTCAGTACTGGCCACTAGCCCGGGAGAGACCGAGAAGAGAGAACGAGAGACGACGACGGAGAAGAGAGAGAGAGAGAGAGAGAGAGAGAGAGAGAGAGAGAGAGAGAGAGAGAGAGAGAGAGAGAGAAGAGAGAGAGAGAGAGAGAGAGAGAGAGGAGAGAGGAGAGAAGAGAGAGAGAGAGAGAGAGAGAGAGAGAGAGAGAGAGAGAGAGAGAGAGAGAGAGAGAGAGAGAAGAGAGAGAGAGAGAGAGAGAGGAGAGAGAGAGAGAGAGAGAGAGAGAGAGAGAGAGAGAGAGAGAGAGAGACGCAAAGCTTTCTTCTTCTGTGTTTTTTTAGCGGTAGTAGGCAGCTTCTGGGTTTTAAATACTGCCACACCACCCTTCCTTAAAACAAGGAACAGTTTTGAGCTGTTTGTGGCTAAAATAACTAGACATTCTGCACTCTTCCAATTGGACTACAAAAATCTTAGCGTGAAGAAAAAATGGCGGATCACCCGGATGTCCAGGACCATTTTAGGCAGTTATCATGACCACATAGTCACAAGATGTATTAGACAAATTTCAAAACTGAACAGGTGGACAAATATGACCAAAACTTCATAATAAAATATCTATATAGCACCTCTAGTGAATAATATAAGGCTTTTTGCACACTTCACGCTTCAAATGTGAAACACACTGTATTAAGGGATAAAAAAACTAGTTTTTCATGACATGTCTCCTTTAAAGGTGTCGTTCACTGAAAAATAATTTTTTTTAATCATTAATTTTGGTGTGGGACGGGGAAGGATGTTGTTGGTTTAGCATCCAGGAAACAGCACAGAACATCTTAACTAGTAGAAGCTAGCCATTAGCATTAGCACCTCCCCCGCACTGCAGAACTCCTCAAATCTTATGTTATTTGTGGAAATAAAACATCAGTGTTGCAGCAAATGAAGTCAGTGGTTGAGTTGCATTGCTGTTAGCCAATCAGAGGCAAAATGTCCAAATATCAGGAAATAAATGTCTAAATCCTGCATTCATTTCTGCTAGAGACCACTGCAAATGCATTAATTAGGGGTGGGACTCAATTTAAAAAAGTATTCTAATTAATTAGAAGGTTTGTAATTAATTAATCTAAATTAATTGCATTTTAATCATTCAAGTAAATGTGCCCTTAAAGCAGTTTTTTAAATAAAAAATAATGAGGCAGAGAATGAAACATTAGACATGGTTATATAACTGTAAGGTCATGCTCTTTTCATTAATACAAAAATGCATTTTAATTATTCAAGTGTCACTGTGTGATATGAAAGAAGACCCAAATAGACTAAAATGTATAACTGCAAATAGAAAACACCAGCAAAGGATTCCTGAGCGTGTGTCTCCTCTGTTAAAGCCTACAGTGGCAGATCGACTGGTGGACTGTCACCTGGAACTATTCCAGGGCATAGGCAAGTTAAGAGACTTTAAAGTCCAGCTCCACATAGACACTAGCTTACAGCCTACTTGTCAACCACACAGACATGCCCCATTTTGTAATAACAGCAAATCATTATTTGCTTAGTATCATGGCTTATGTAGTTCATACTGCTAGACGGTAGGGGGAGCCAGAGGGATGCAGAGGACCCGCGGTCTGGGACAGTAGAAGCATAGGCGTCATTTTAACCGGGGACGCCGGGGACATGTCCCCGGCAAAATTTGTGATTGGCAGCTGTGTCCCCCCCACTTTCAAAAAAGCCTGCTGATGAGGATTTTTGTTTTACCAGCTCAGGTCTTTTACCAGGGGTCGGCAACCTATTCCCATCAAAGAGCCATTATTACCCGTTTCCCACAGTAAAGAAAACACCGCAGCAATCGCTGCGTTGTGGGCGGGGCCTAGCCTCAGACAGCAGAGAGCTGCTCACAACCAGGTGACAGCAGCCGGTACCGGTCGCTCGCATGGGCGTCGCACCCATGGGGGATTTAACACCCACACTTTTCCAGCTGTTTTGCTCACTTCCACACCAGTCTGGTTTCTTTGCGTCGCACTCACTCTGTTTGCCTCATCTCCTTCTTCACCTCCTTCTTCTGACAGCCGATGTCGGGTTTCCAGGAGAGCAGGAGAGGGAGGGACGGAAGAGCTCGACTGAATTCATAATTTTACATCTTGACATTAGCTGTACAAAGTCTGAGTTTGATAAAGTGTAGAACAACAATTTGCAGAGGTTATAACAGGTGTTGGGGTTATTAGGAGCGAATAATTAGTAAGTTTTAACTTACTTTTGGATTCTTCAATAAATTCTGTAAATATGGGAATATTAACTGATTTATTAATTAATTAAGATATTCTTAGATATCCCGGGGCACCATCCCTTTAATTAGAAAGGGAAATGAATCCAAAACCTTAACAGTCTTTCTTGAAGTTCGTAGAATCCTTGGAGCAGAGACTTCTCTTCGACACAACAAAGCTACTGGAGACAAAAATCTGAATTTTATGACATTTAATTAAACAATTTGTCAAATGAATAAACAATGAAATAAATGAATAATAACCATGTGATATAATAAAAGGAGTGGTGTGTGTGTGTGTGTGCGTGTG